TCGGTCTCCGTGTTTGGGCTCGGTCTCCGTGTTTGGGCTCGGTCTCCGTGTTTGGGCTCGGTCTCCGTGTTTGGGCTCGGTCTCCGTGTTTGGGCTCGGTCTCCGTGTCGATCTCCCTGTTTAGGGTTGATCTCTGTGTTTAGGAGTGATCTCTGTGTTTAGGAGTGATCTCTATGTTTGGATGATCCCAGTGCTTTCCCTCCCCCACCCAAAAGGGAACATTCCCTGTTTTCAGGCTGGAAATGTCCCTGATGTGGGGACCTCGGGACACCAGTTTGTCCCAATTTGCCCTGTCTCCAGCAGGGTTTTGACCCCTTTTGGAGTCTGATGTTCCCAAACTGAAACCTCTCAGGTCTCAGCTGAGGAGGATTTCTGGCTCATTCCAAAGAGGAAAACCCCTCAAAGCTCACGCCCCCTCCATGCCCACCCTCAGGATGATGAGAACTCAGCTGGATTGGTTTTTCCACCCCAAAAGTGTCCCTACAACATTCCAAACCCCTGAATTGGCTTTCCCGCTCGAGAACGTGTCTGTACAACATTCCCAACCCATTTAATTTATTTTTAATACCCCAAAAGTTTCCCTACAACATTCCAAATCCTCTGAATTGGTTTTCCCACTTTCCCACTCTGTACAACATTCCAAACCCATTTTTTTTAACACCCCAAAAGTATCCCTACAACATTCCAAGCCCCATCCTTGTGCGTTAAGCCAGATCTAATTCAAGGGAACCTTTTTTATTTCTCACCCCCTGATCTTTTGGACATTTTTTCTTTATCCCCCTCTGATCTTCTGGATGTTTTTTATTTATCACCCCATGATCTTTTGGATATTTTTTATTTCTCACCCCCTGATCTTTTGGATGTTTTTTATTTATCACCCCCTGATCTTTTGGATGTTTTTTATTTATCATCCCATGATCTTTTGGACATTTTTTATTTCTCACCCCTTGATCTTTTGGATGTTTTTTATTTATCACCCCGTGATCTTTTGGACATTTTTTATTTCTCACCTCCTGATCTTCTGGACATTTTTTATTTATCATCCCCTGGTCTTCTGGACATGTTTTATTTATCCCAGTCTGATCTGCTTCTTTTTCCAGCTGATCTTTGAAGGGATCCGTGGCCCCGGGATCGAAGGGGACATTGCCATCGATGACGTGTCCATCGTGGAAGGGGAGTGTATGAAATCCGACCAACCGGCCAACAGTAAGCGCCTCTTCCCCACGGGGTTCTTCCTGCGTTTCTGCTTCCAGAAGGATCTTCTCCAGAAGAACAATGCTTTGGTTCAGCTGGAAGGTTGAAAGAGGAAAGTTTTCCTTGGAATTTTCTCAGAATTCCTTGGAATTTCCTTGGGAATGCTTTGTTTGGATGGGTGTGAGGCAGAGGTGAGAGCTGTGAGGGACTCTACACCAGACTGGGCTGGATTGGAGAGCAATCCCTGCTTGGGTTCATCTGGAAGGTTGAAAGGGGAATGTTTTCCTTGGAATTTCTTGGAATATTCTCAGAATTCCTTGGAATTTCCTTGGAATTTTCCTTGGGAATGCTTTGCTTAGATGGGAAGATGCCAGAGGTGAGAGCAGTGGGGAACGCCACACTGGGCTGGGCTGGATTGGAGAACAATCCCCGCTTTGGTTCATCTGGAAGGTTGAAACGGGAATGTTTTCCTTGGAATTTCTTGGAATTTTCTCAGAATTCCTTGGAATTTCCTTGGGAATGCTTTGTTCGGATGGGTGTGAGGCGGAGTTGAGAGCAGTGGCGGATTCCACACTGGGCTGGACTGGATTGGAGAACAATTCCTGGTTTGGTTCGTCTGGAAGGAATGATTTCCTTGGAATTTCTTGGAATTCCTTGAAATTTCCCTGGAATTCCTTAGAATTTTCCTTGGGAATGCTTTGCTTGGGTGGGTGTGAGGCAGAGAGCGGTGTGGGACTCTACACCAGACTGGGCTGGATTGGAGAGCAATCCCTGCTTTGATTCAACTGGAAGAAATGTTTTCCTTGGAATTTCTTGGAATTACTTGGAATTTCCTTGGAATTTTCCTTGAGAATGCTTTGCTCGGATGGGAAGATGCCAGAGATGAGGGCAGTAGGGGAACTCCACACGGGGCTGGGCTGGATTGGAGAACAATCCCTCAGTTTTGGTTCAGCTGGAATGTTTAGAGGGGAATGTTTTCCTTGGAATTCCTTGGAATTTTCTCAGAATTCCTTGGAATTTCCTTGGGAATGCTTTGTTCGGATGGTTGTGGGGCAGAGGTGAGAGTGGTGTGGGACTCTACACCAGACTGGGCTGGATTGGAGAGCAATCCCTGCTTGGGTTCATCTGCAGGGTTGAAAGGGAAATGTTTTCCTTGGAATTCCTTGGAATATTATCAGAATTCCTTGGAATTTCCTTGGAATTTTCCTTGGGAATGCTTTGCCCAGATGGGAAGATGCCAGAGGTGAGAGCAGTGGGGAACTCCACACTGGGCTGGGCTGGAATGGAGAACAATCCCTGGTTTGGTTCATCTGGAAGGTTGAAAGGGGAATGTTTTCCTTGGAATATTCTCAGAATTCCTTGGAATTTTCCTTGGGAATGCTTTGCCCAGATGGGAAGATGCCACAGGTGAGAGTGATGGGCAACTCCACACTGAGCTGGACTGGAGAGCAATCCCTGCTTNTTTCCTTGGGAATGCTTTGCCCAGATGGGAAGATGCCACAGGTGAGAGTGATGGGCAACTCCACACTGAGCTGGACTGGAGAGCAATCCCTGCTTTGGTTCAGCTGGAAGGTTTAGAGGGGAATGTTTTCCTTGGATTTTTGTCAGAATTCCTTGAAATTCCCTTGGAATTCCTTAGAATTTTCCTTGGGAATGCATTGCTTGGCTGGGAAGATGCYATATGGGTGTGAGGCAGAGGGGGATTAGATTTTGGAGGGATGGAGGTGTGGGCATTGGTGGAGCTGGGCTTTAATTCTTTTTCTTACCTTTCAATTTCTATTCCTTATCTTTTTCATTCCATTTCTTACCTTTTAATTTTTATTTCTTACTCTTTAATTCTATTTCTTATCTTTGAAATTCTATTTCTTACCTTTGAAATTCTATTTTTACCTTCTTAATTCTATTTTTACCTCTTTAATTCTATTTTTTTACCTCTTTAATTCTATTTTTACCTCTTTAATCCTATTTTTACCTTCTTAATTCTATTTTTACCTCTTTAATCCCATTTTTACCTTTTAAATTCTATTTTTACCTCTTTAATTCTATTTTTACCTCTTTAATCCTATTTTTACCTTTTAAATTCTATTTTTACCTCTTTAATTCTATTTTTTATCTTCTTAATTCCATTTTTACCCCATCAATTCTATTTTTACCTCTTTAATTCTATTTTTTTACCTCTTTAATTCTATTTTTTACCTCTTTAATTCTGGTTTTCTCCCCGTTTTCTGCAGATCTACGATCGGGTGCTGCTGGCCCATCGGCGCATATACGACTTCTCCCCCTTCTCATCCTCATGTCTGTCTTAAGTCATCAGAGGTGACCTTATCCTGGCAGAGGCTACAAAAGATTCACCAGGCACTGGCATGAAGAAAGAGTCTTTGTGAAATGGACATTTCCAAACAAACTACCAAAGATTCCTCCACTGACTGACTCGAAAGCGAAATAAATACGTAAATAAATAATTAAAATTTTAAAAAAAAAATAAAGTTAAAAAAAAACAATTAAGAAAGCACTGGGGACTTAGAAAGGCATCACGGGAGTGGAACTCACTAAGAACCAAGCGTGAGACCGAGATCTGGCCTAAGCAAGGAAGAGACCTTCAGGTGCTTTTTGTGGTCACTGATGAATTCAGCATGGTCTGGTTGAACTCTCGGCAAAGAGCTCTAGGAACCCTCGTCAAAGCACAAAGTCATGGCTGGTTTTGTTTCAAATGAATCGTTTGCTTGTTACCATGGAAACCTAATGGCCTGCCACAACAAAAATAAGAGAGGAAGGAGAGAGAGAGAGGAAATACGAACAGAAGGAGCGAGGAACACCTGGCTGTGAACAGGGTATGTGCAGAGCTGGCGTTTCCCTCCCCTTGGCGGAGGGTTTAGCGCGGAGTCCAACAAACCCTTCCCACTTCGGTTGTCACCTCCCCCGGCGGCTGACCCGGGAGCGGAGCCGTTGGTGACACTCCCGTGACATTCCTGATGGCTCTGCTCGGTGACTGTGCGCTGTCTCCTCTTGCATGCATTCCCATCCAGGACGTGCCACCTGGGCTCACGTTCGTCACAAGGCTTCACCGGGAGTTTGCTCGCGGCCACCGGAACCCTCTCCCCTTCCCCGCCGGAGGAGTCATCTGCTCTACGGAAGTGAAGAAACCAAACCACCGTCTTTTATAAATTGCCATGGAAACCAAGTGCCTTCAATGAAACAAGCCTGATTTCAAAAAATAGGAAAAAAAAAAAAAAAAAAAAAAATATATATATATAAATATATATATAGAAAAAGATAATAAAAAAATGTAATAAATGTAATAACGATGATTTCAACACGGAAGCTTTGCACTGCTGAAAACGTGGGTTGTGCAAACTCTTTTCTAAACAAACTCTGGAGCCTGGGTGTGCAGGCAAGGAGACAGAGCCGCTTCTGGAGAAGGATGGACGGAGCTGAGGTGGCGCCGCGGAATTCCTTCGGGATGAGATCCATGTGGCACCACCTTCCCGGCAGCCATGGCCTTTCAGCTTCTCACCCATTAGAAACAGCTCCCGGTGCTCCCGGCAATGGGAGCGGCACTTTTCGTTGTCGTCGTCGTCGTCGTTTTCAGGTTCTCCAGTGGGTCAACCAGAGGAAAAAAAAAAAGGTGGTTGGGACACACACTCGGTGCAGAAGGTGGTGAAACACAGGAGGATTTTCTTACTCTCCCCCTCTGTTGGGAACGGCTCCCGACATCCGGAGCTCYGGACGCCCCAAGGGGGGCTCTGCCTCTGCCCCGGAGCCAGACTCGGTGCAGAGGGCGAAAGATTATTTTGTTATTGTAGCGAAATTAAAAAAAAAAAAGGTTAAAAAAAATTAAAAATAATCCACTTTTACAAGGAAAAAAAAATAAAAGCTGTACAAAAAATGGGTTTGAGCTACCCGAACACGTGCCGGTTTTCCACTGCATTGTAAAGTTCCCTTCCAGTTGGTTATGAAATTTGAAGACCTTTTTCCTTAAATTATCTCAGCTTTTAACTTCATTTAAAAAAAAAGGAAAGACTTTTGTCTAAAGAAGAGTATTATTATTATAATTATTATAATTATTATTATTATTCTGTGTTCTCTCGACACCCTAGGATTAAAAACAACACCTGATATGCAAATAATTGGAGTACAACCGTGAAAACAACAAAAAAAAGAATAAAAAAAAAAAAAATAAAAAAAAGGATTAAAAACAACACCTGATATGCAAATAATTGGAGTACAACCGTGAAAACAACAAAAAAAAGTATAATAATTGCAAATATGAGTATAAAAAGCACAACGAGATGCAGTAAAACAATGACAAGGCTTGATTTTTTTTATTCTGTAGAGAATTGTTTGTGCAAATTCAGTAATTCCACTGAAGAGATAATTTTCCAGCTCTGTTCAATAAAGCCTCTTTCCAGGTAAGGCAGCCCCGTGGTGYGTGTGTTTGTTGAGCCCCTGGCAGAGCTTTTCTTCAGCAAACTGGTGTCAGCTGGAGTTGTACTGGTTCATACTGGTGGTGCCTGGGGGCTGGAGCGTTCCCAGGATGCTCTTGGCTCCCTGGTTTTTAAGGCAGTTTTGGTGTCACCAAGTCCCTGTGCTCAGAAAATGGTGGGAGCTCGGAGTCTGATCGACTGTGGGGTTTGGAGGAACGTGGAAACTGAATCTGATGGACCGTGGGGTTTGGAAAATGGTGGGAGCTCAGAATCTGATGGACTGTGGGGTTTGGAGGAACGTGGAAATGGAATCTGATGGACCATGGGGTTTGGAACATGGTGGGAACTCAGAATCTGATGGACTGTGGGGTTTGGAAGATGGTGGGAACTCAGAATCTGATGGACTGTGGGGTTTGGAGGAACATGGAAATTCTGAATCTGATGGACCATGGGGTTTGGAAAATGGTGGGAACTCAGAATCTGATGGACTGTGRGGTTTGGAAAATGGTGGGAATTCTGAATCTGATGGACCATGGGGTTTGGAAGATGGTGGGAGCTCCAAGTCTGGATGGACTGTGGTGTTTGGAAGATGGTGGAAACTCTGAGTCTGAATGGAAGATGGGATTTGGAGGAATTGGAACTCAGAGTCTGATGGACCACGGGGTTTGGAAGATGGTGGGACTCTGAGTCTTGATGGACTGTGGGATTTGGAAGACAGTGGGAGCTCCAAGTCTGGATGGACTGTGGTCTTTAGATGACAAWGGAAACTTTGAGTCTGATGGACCGCGGGGTTTGGAAGAAAGTGAGAACTCAGAATCTGATGGACTGCGGGGTTTGGAAGATGGTTTTTCTGGGAATTCTGAGTCCGGTGGCCTGTGGGATTTGGAAGAAAGTGGGAAATCTGAGTCCGGTGGCCTGTGGGATCTGGAAGAAAGTGGGAACTCTGAATCTGGATGCACCGTAGGATTTGGCACCCTTAAAARCCACAAACCACCAAATTTCCCATTGGCAAGTGCTGGAATTAAATTTTGGACGGATGGATGACCTGGTCAGGTACGGTGAGACCCTGGGGCAGATTTCCTTTAGGAGGTTGGTGTCTCCCAGAATCCAGAATCCAAACCTTGACATGCATCTTCCCACAGATGTCTCCTAAGAGCCACAAAAGCCAGGGATGCTCCAGAGGCCTCTCCATGGGCGCTTTTGGTGGGATTTTGGAAGAGCTGGGTCTGCCAGGAGCCGGAACAGCAACCGGTCCATCATTTCCACAAATCCCACGATGGATTGGGTCAGAAGGGACCTTAAAGCTCATCCCATTCCAACCCCAGGCTTGGGGACACCTTCCCAGGCTGAAGGACAACAGGAAAAGTTTTAAAGCACTTCTCTGCTTTTCCTTTTAATTTCCCTTGAAAATCCGCACTGGGACCTGGAATCTCACCAGAGATGGATTTCCCAAGGAGCAGGCAGAGCTCTGGACACAGGGCAGAGTGACGGGGACTCCGTGGGAAGGGAGGATTTGGGAAATGCCTCTGTGATAAGGCAGATGGGTGATAAGGAACAGGAGATCCCACTTGATCGTTCAGATCCCAAACTGAAACTGCAGGCTGAAATCCATATTTCCTCTTTCCGTTTTTTTCTTTCCCTCACTCCCATGGAATGTTTGATAAAGAATTTCCATAGACGAAGACCACAGAATTTTTTTTTCAGGCTAATCCATGTGTCCCGAAAATCCCAGGTTTTTGTGTGAAAGGAAATGTGTTYCCCATGYCTGTTCCCATTTTACTCACCTGGGRTGCAGGAGGTGCTAAGAAAAGAGGGATTTCTGTTCCCAATGTTGATTGTAGGAGCAGTTTTATCTTCCTTTACATTCCCAAAATAAAGCACTGAAAAAGAAATGGGATTTTACTCCAGGGCACGAATAAGAAGAACAAATTGAGATATGAATTTCCTACTCTCAGTTTTTATTTTATTTTACCTTTTGGACTCAAAATGGATGTAAAAATGTTGGCTCAGCAATCAAAGGCAGTTGGAACTGGCAGTTCCCTGGAATGTGAAACYCCTCTGATTCCGTTCCAGGGTGGCCAACCTGAGAATGTCCCTGATGGATTTTTAAATTGGACATCAAAGACAATTGGGCATCAAAGTTCGTGCAGCAACTGAAATCCTGGGATGTTGGRAAAAGTGACAGGGTTGGATGGGATGGCTGCAGGAATCCCCTGGGTGTTCCCAAAGCAGAGCTGGGTGGAGCACAGGACAAATTTTCCAGGTTTTTTTAATTCATTCCAGGCTGATGTGGGTGGATAAGGATGCCATTGGAGAACTTCCCTTTTATTTCACAAAGTACATTGAATGTGAAATCATGAAATGATAAAATTATGGAATTTATRAGTATAAAATGAAATATGGATTTAGACCATGAGTTATGGACCTTAAATCCCTTCTCATTCCACCCCTGACAGTTCCACTGTTCCAGGGTGCTCCGAGCCCCATCCGACCTGGTCTGTGACATTTCCAGGGATGGTCTGTGTTATTTCCAGGGATGGGGCAGCTCCCCTGGACATCCTGAATCCCACAAATATCCACGGAACACTTGGATCTCACCGTGCTTCCAACTCAGCTCTTCTGCAGCCTGGCCTGGATCCTGGATGGAACACAAGGAGGGATAAAAGCACGGATTAAAACCGACTCAGCCCATTCCGATGGCACCACACAAATCCCAGAAATCCTTGGGAATGTGACATTTCCCCGGAATTTGGGAGGAGAACAGCTGCTTCACCCAAAAGTGCTGGAGCTGCATCCTCCAGCCCCCAAATATTTGCCAACCCCATCTGTAAATCCCAACCTCCACCGATCCCAGAGATTTCCTTCACATCCAGCACTGGAATTCCTACTGCATCCACCAGTGGGAACAGAATAATTGGGTTTGGGGTCATTGGGATCCCCCAAACCTTAAAACAAAGTCGATCATCACCTCCTTGTTCAAGTTCTCACTTCCCCTGCTTTGTCAGAGCAGTGAATTCCCTTTGTAGGGAACAATTCAGGCAGAAGGAGCTGATTTTTTTTTTCCATGCTGAGCAGAAGAGGCTTTCCTGGTTTTATTTTGGGAGTGTTTACTTGCTGGGAACRTTTCCTTCATATATTGAAGGGTAATTGGAACTCTCCTGCTCCCCCAGAAGTGTGTGATCCATCAGGAAAACGGCTTTTTGGAGCAGTTCAATAAAAAAACCTCCAGTTTGGTGTTACAAGCTCTCCCAGCCTCTCCGTGCTAATAAAGAGATTGGGAGCCATCTGGAATATTCTTGGATTTTCCCACAAAACTATAAAAAGCTATAAAAAAAGGTTATCATTACATTTGAAATGAGAGATTTTTTTTTTGTTTTTTTTTTGTTTTGTTTTGTTTTGGGTTTTTTTTGAGAATGAGCATCCCTGGAGGATTTTGCTCCCCCTTTCAAAGCTGCCCCACAGCACAGAATGAATGAAACCGTTGGATTATCCCTGGTGCAAAGGAATTTAGGGACCTGCAGCTCCTGCAATCCCACATTTATGGCACTTACAGCGTTTGGACATTTTCTGTCATTTCTCCCTTAAATTCCTGACTCCGGTGTCAGCCCCAGATCCATGGGAATGTTGGGGTAGGCAGGGAAATGTGTTTTATGTGATAAAAAATTGGAGCTATCGTTAACCCGAACACAGGGAATTTAGAATTGTGCGTCCTGCTGTTCCTTATTAAATATTGTTTCATTTTCCTTTGGATATGCCAGATTGGGAAGCTGGTCTTCAATACATCCCAGAATCCCAGAAGGGAAATTAAATCCCATCTAATTCCATCCCTCTTCCATGTGCAGGGGMACCTCCCACTATCCCAGGGTGCTCCAAGCCCATTCCAACCCTGGGACACTTCCACAGTTGGGTTTTACGTGATGGGAAATTCCCTCTTTGCTGAGTGTCCCTCCCCAAACTCCCCAAACCATCCCAGTTCAGCCATGATCCATCAGCCATTTCCCACATTCTGTAACTTACTGGGAATAATGGAATTATGGAATCATTTCGGTTGGGAATTACCTTCAAAAATATTGACTCCAACCATTCCCAGCACTGCCCAGGCCACCTCTGTCCCATGTCCCCAAGTGCCACATCTACAGGGATTTTAACCCTCCAGGAATGGGAATTCCCTCAATGCCCTGGGCAGCTGTTCCAAAGCCTAAAAATAATAAAGTCTCATTCAGATGAGTGAGAAGAAACTGAAACCTAAATAGGAGCATTGGTGTTCTGACTGTGGATGGGGATGGATGGATGGATGGATGGATGGATGGA